GAGCAGGGAGCCCGATGCGGGACTCGATCCCGGGACTCCAGGATCATGACCTGAGCTGAAGGCAGTCGCTTAACCAACTGAGCCACCCAGGCGCCCGAGGCTACGAATTTTTAAAAACATACTTTATACCACATTTTCTTTAATCCTCTCACCAAGCAGTGGACATCTGGGCTGTTTCCACTTCTTGGACATTCAGAATGAGGCTGCCATGAACATTCACTTTGCCTCCTGTGTGGACGTGTGTTTCTCTCCCGGGTTAAATTCCTAAAAGTGGAGTTGCTGGATTGCAGGGGAGACTTGGGATGAACTCCTGGAGAGGCCTCGGGGTAATCCCTGGAGGCAGATGGCCTGAGCCTGAAGCCCAGCTTTGCCACTGGCAGATCCACCTGACTTCAGGTGACTTACTCTCTCCATACCTCAGTTAACTCTTCCATAAAATGGATGAACACTCCCCACCTCCCGGGACTGGCGATTAAGTGAGTTCACACACAAGTTCTCCACACAGCCCCTGTGAGTTGAGTCTTCTTGCCGCCGCCTTCACACGAGTGATCTTTGTGACTCCTGCTGGACAGGAATGACTCCCCATGTGATGGGTGGGGAAACTGAGCCTCAGAAGGGCTGTCTCGATGACTATTCTGCTCTTATAGGGTAAATGAATGGGGGTGGCTGTGTAACAATAAAACTTCATTTACAAAACCAGCCAGCAATGGAATATTAACCACCTAAAGGAATAAAGCATTGACCCCTGCCACAACGTGGTTGGACCTTGAGGATGCGATCCTTAGTGAAATGAGCAGACTCAAAAGGACAAATACTGTATGAATCCACTCCCAGGAGGTCCCCAGAGGAGTCCCGTCCACAGAGACAGAGAGGAGAGCGTGGGAGCCGGGGCTGGGGTCGGGGGGTGGGGAGTCTCCTTTTGGGGAGATGGAAAGTTCTGGAGATGGATGATGGGGGTGGTTGCAGGACAGTGTGAGTGTGCTTCATGCCGCTGAGCTGTGCACTTGAAATGGTTAAGATGGTAAGTTTTATGTGTCTTTTTTTATAAAGATTTTATTTTTGAGAGAGAACAAGCATGAGCACGGGGAGAGGCAGAGAGAGAAGCAGACTCTCCACTGAGCAGGGAGCCCGATGTGGGACTTGATCCCAGGACCCTGGGATCATGATCTGAGCCAAAGGCAGACACCTAACAACTGAGCCACCCAGGCACCCAGTTTTATGTGTATTTTACCACAACTAAAAAAATTAAATACACGTGCTGCCCCAGGGACGGACCCTGAGCCTACGATACTCAGGGAACCAGACACACACAGCCACACGGGGTGTGAGTCCACGTGGGTGACACGTCCAGAACAGACTCATCCACGGACAGGAAGGGGGCTCGTGGGGGCTGGAGGAGGGGAGAATGAGGAGTGACTTTTTTTTTTTTTTTGGAGTGATGGCTAAGTCCTAGAATTAGCCACGACTGTTGCACAACCTAACGAAAAAACTAAAAACCTTGGAATCGTGTGTTGTAAAATGGTGGCATTACTGATGTGTGAACTTCTCGATTCAGCTGTTAGGAAAAACCAGACAGGAATCAGAAAATCAGGTGTGGGCCCTGTGGGCCGTAGTTGTGGGGCCCAGTGGTAGACGTGAAGCTCCGTGAGAGTGGGGCTCTGGTCTGCCCGGCCCGCAGTGGGTGTCAAGTGCACGTGCAAACAGATGAGCGGCAGGGCTAAGGTGGAGGAGGTGCCATGGGCTTGTGCAACCACTTGGATGCAAGGCAAGCATGGGCTGAGCCGTTGCTTGGCTGGGAGTGAAATCGACATTGCAGGGCACCCGAGGCCCAGGACCAGCCCGCTGAGCTGCTTGTCCCCATAGCCGAGCGTGGTGGACCGCGTGGCCAGCATGCCCCTCATCAGCTCCACCTGCGACATGGTGTCGGCGGCCTACACCTCCACCAAGGAGAGCCACCCCCACGTCAAGACCGTCTGCGACGCGGCCGAGAAGGGCGTGAAGACTCTCACCGCGGCTGCTGTCAGTGGGGCCCAGCCCATCCTCTCCAAGCTGGAACCACAGAGTGAGTGAAGCCCCGGAGAGCCCGGGTCCTACCTCTTGGCTGTTCCGGGGGTGTGGGGAGGGGTTCTGCCCCACCCCCGGCCCTGTTTCCGCAAACCAGCACCGGCCGGCCTTCCAGGCCCCGAGGGGTGCGCACATGCTGGGACTGACGATTCCTGTCTTGCCCATGTAGTCGCATCGGCCAGCGAATACGCCCACAGGGGGCTGGACAAGCTGGAGGAGAACCTGCCCATCCTGCAGCAGCACACGGAGAAGGTAACTGAGCTGCGACATCAGGAGCCCCTGGGGGATGGGGGCTCAGTGGGGGTGGGGGCCTCCAGGGGGATGGAGTCTGTGGTCCCACCCCCGCTTCCATTAGAATAGACCCATATGACAGCTTCCTCCCTGACCCCTCTTCGGTCTGTCCCCACCCCCACCTTGAATCTGCTCCCCATTGAGCAGCTGGAGGAGTGATCGAAACACCAGCCAGATCTGTCCAAAATCCCCTGGTGTCTCTCACCTTGCCTGGGGCAGAAGCCAAGGCTGTCCTTACAGCCCGCGTGCCCCGATCTGGCCCCACAGCCCCCCAGCCCTCATTGCCCACCTCCTCTGGCCTGCTCCAGCCCCGCCAGCCTCTGTGGTCCGTGTTGAGGAACATCAGTACCTGTGTGGACGGGACACGGGTAGAAACAGAGTGCCTGCCGTTGTGGGACTTTCATTCAGGGGAGGCCTGGGGAAGCAAATTCAGTGAACACGTCCATCCCAGTCCTACTCCAGGCCCTTTGCATGTGCACTTCCTTCTTCATGAACCAGACTTTCAGGTCTCTGTTCTAATCCTGCCTCTTCAGAGGCCTTCCCTTCCCTCTTAAAGAAGGTCCTTCTAGCTCAGCTCTGTCCAGAACTGTCTCCCATGTCCACACCATCCAGTATGGAAACCACCAGCTGTACGTGGCTACGGAGCCCTTAGAATGTGGCTGGTGTCACCGAGGAACTCCGTTTACCAATTTTAAGTTGAAGAGCTGCACGTGGCCCGTGGCCAGCATCACTCTGGCACACACCACAACGGCTTCCCTGAGCTGTGAGTCACATACCGCACAATGAGCTCATTTAAAGTCTACAACTCAATGGTTCAAGTATAGTCACGTTGTATAACCATCACCACCCATTTTAGAACATTTCATCACCCCAAAAGAAACCCCACATCCCTTAGCTGTTAATCTCCTTCCTGCCAAACACTCCTGGCTACCACTCATCCACTTCCCGTCCGTGGATGAGCCTGTTCTGGACGTGTCAGCCATGTGGACTCACACTCCGTGTGGCCTTCTGTGTCTGGCTCCCTCCCTGAGCATCATGGGCTCGGGGTCCGTCCCCGGGGCAGCGCGTGTGGGCGCCTGGCCCCCGTCCACAGCCGAGTGACACGCCCGTGTGTGGGGGACACACTCTGTGTATCCGTTCATCTGTTGATGGACATTTTGCTGGTTCCCACTTCTTGGCTGTTAAAATATTGCTGGACATCCGTGTACCAGTTCCATTAGTTCTTCTACAACATAAAATTTGTCATCTTTAATGACATCTCTAAGTGCACAGCTCTGCGGCGTGAAGCACACTCACACTGTCCTGAGACCACCCCCACCCTCTGTCTCCAGAACTTTCCATCTCCCCGCACGGAGACTCTGTCCCCATGAAGCACGGACTCCCCACCCCCTGCCCCAGCCCCGGCTCGCACCCTCTCTTCTCAGTCTGTGTGGATGGGACTCCTCTGGGGACCTCCTGGGAGTGGGATCCAGCGCGATGTGTCCTTCTGTATCTGGCTCCTCTCACTGAGCACAGTGTCCTCGGGGTCCCTCCACGTGGTGGCAGGTGGCAGGGTCCCTTCCTTTCCGTGGCTGACCAATATTCCAGTGTGTGGACGGACAGTGTTTATTTATCTTTGCATCTGTAAGTGGATTGCTTCCACCTTCTGGGGCTTGTGAATCATGCTGCTCTGAATGTGGGTGTCCCAGTTATATGGGCTTGTAAGGTTCCACGCCATCTGAAGGGCTTTTTTTTTTTTTTTAATTTTTTATTTATTCGTTTGAGACACAGAGATAGAACATGAGCAGGGAGAGAGGGAGAGGGAGAAGCAGGCTCCCCGCCGAGCCAGGAGCCCGACGCGGGGCTCAATCCCAGGACCCTGGGATCATGATCCGAGCCGAAGGCAGACGCTTAACCATCTGAGCCACCCAGGTGCCCTGAAAGGCTTTTTAGCTGCGTGTTTGTCTTCCCAAGTGGGGTGAGGGCACAGACTGCTTGGTTGCTCTGTCTGGCGCCCATCAGCTAGCCTGGCGCAGAGTAGATGCTTAATCTCCACTTTCGCCACGTGGGACACGCGGCCACGCTCTTCGTATCCGAGTTTCTCTCACCAGAACTCAGTGGTCCCCGAAGGGGCAGCGGGGCAAGCCCGCCGCTGCTCCAGTTCTAGGCTCTGCCCTGAGGCCCCTCCGCTATCGGGCGCCCCCTGTCGGCCAGAGACTGCTATACACCACGTCCC